GAGGGCCAGGAGTATAGCTTAGGGCACAAGCACCTGCCTGGCAAGTGCAAGGTCCTGAGTTCGATTCCCAGTACCAAAAATGAAAAAAAAAAGCCCATAGAATTGGTGTTATAGAGACACCAGTGCCAAGCCCTGCCCTTTCATCTATTTGTTTCATTCATTCTTGTAAATTTTACCAGTTGGGTCACATTGTGGGCTTCTGCTTCTGCTTCAGCTTCATTTTGTGTGTTTCCTCCCAGTTATGGTACAGATTTCGTCCCCTCAGATTCATATGCTGAAGCCCTGACCCCGAATGTGATTGTGTAACAGAAAATGCATCCCCCCCCAGCCGTATACTTCAGGTTCTTAGTTGCCCAGGTTATTGTTCCTGTTGCAGTTCCTGTTGCTTCTGTCTCACAATAATCCTCCTGCCTCAGCCTCCCGAGTGCTGGGATTACAGGCATGTGCCACCACCCCTGGCCCTTATACCATCCATATTACTAGCTAAAACAGAAACAGCTGGTCACTGTGATGCATATTATAAAAACCAGTCCCCAGTTGACAAGCCATTGCCTCTATACTTCCTGATCGTTTATCCCATATAAGCCCTAGACCACCAATACAGACTGGGGCCTGATATTTTGGAAATGGTCCCAATCAGTTCTCATCAATGTAAAATGAATCTGCCTTCAAACCCTGGGTGTCCTTTCAGTGCTTCTGCTTGCCCTTGTAATTGCACAGTATATAGCGGTAGGACCTTTCGAAGGCAATTAATGAAGTCTTAAGGGTTGGTATCCCCTTAAGTCTAATAGGATTGGTGCCTTTATAAAATGACATCTTTAACAGGAAGGAACCAAGAGATGGGGTTGGGGGATGAAACGAAAATCAAGATGTGCTGATGAGTTATATACGAACTCCACATAAAGAATGTGATCAAGCATGCACTGATAAAAAATGAAAATTGGGGGAGAAAAGACATCTTTATACAAAGGGGGAGACTAGAAAGTCTCCCCTGCACGTACAGGGGACATGCGAGGGGATAGCAAGAAGGTGGCCACCTGCAAGCCAGGAAGAGTCACCTAAAAGAACTTCCTCTTCATAAAAATGAACGCCGTGTGTGTGTGTGTGTGTGTGTGTGTGTGTGTGTGTGTGTGTATGTGTGTGTGTGGTGTGTGTGTGGTGTGTGTGTGTGAGTGAGCATCCACACACATGCACATACACATGAGCTGGGTATTACATACAGGGCCTTCACACTGTGGGCTATGTCCCCAACACCTTTTATTTTTTATTTTGAGACAGGGTCTCTCTAAGTCCCTAAATTGCGCAGTGTGGGCCAGAATTTGTAGTCCTCCTGCCTCAGCTTCCCTGAGTACTGGGATTACAGGCTTGCGTCACCACAATCAACTCTAAAAGTGAAGGCATTTGAGGTGACTTGTTTTTAATTTTGTCATTGTTAATGTAGCATTTGTTTACATAGATGTTTGTCAGGGACACTTAAGTACTCAATTTTTAATTTGGGAATAAAAATTGTATGACTGGAAGCTAAGCAAAGAAAACGTATACAGAACATAGAGTTAGAAAGTAGCAGATAATGACATTAGTATTATACCATCCTTTTTTGTCTTTTTGAGACAGGGTCTTACTATGCAGTTCAGGCTGGCCTTGAGCTCACTTTGTAGCCCAGGCTGGTCTCGAACTCACAACAATCCTCCTGCCTCAGCCTCCTGAGTGCTGGGATTACAGGCATGTGCCACCATGCCTGGCCCTTATACCATCCATATTACTAGCTAAAGATCTGTTACTTTAACTGGGTGATGATATATAAGGATATTATTTTCTTGAAAAAGATTTTGAGAATTTTTAAATAGTGGAACTAAAAATTTAACTTCTGTAATTATATAAATAATGATCATTAATAAGTAGTTTCAATAGAAATATTTCTCAGAGAATTTCTGTATCATTAAATTATGAAAACACAATACATAATTAAGTAAATTTTTCTTTTAATTTGACCATAACTTTTCAGTATCAAATAAACTGCATAATACTTTGTATTAATAAATTAACAATGTATGGTCTAAAGCTGTGAAGAGAAATGTGCATAATATAGTTTATGTAAAAACACAGTACCTTCTCCTTCAGCCTCCACCCCCAAATTACTTAAAATTGTCAAAGACATTGTGTCTTTGAACATAGCAGGTTTTGTGACAAAAATTCATCCCAAAATTTGTAGTATAATTTGTTTCCTTATCAGTTCTTAATTTAGTAGGTATATTTTTGGATTGTTACATGAAAATACTGAATAATTTGAAACCTTACTTTTTATTTTGCATTCAGTATGGAGATTTATTCCCCAAGCAGGGCTTTTCTGATGTAAAATTGGAATGCTTGTGTAGTCACAACAGCTGTCCCCACACCATGTGGTATCTTCCATTACTGTACTGTAGAGATGAATTTTTGGCCCAGTGTTTGAGTAATATTGGACACACATGGTTTTAAGCGGCAAAGCAGTGCGCTTATGCATTCATTTGACTTTCACAGCTACAGTTGGCTCCAGATTAGAACAGGGAGAACACATTCACACCATGGCCACCCTCATGGCTGCTGTAGTAGCTGGATCACAGTAGGCTCTGTTGCTTCTAAAGACACAACTAACTATAGCTGAGGAATTACACATTCACCAAAGTGCTTTACAGCTGTAGGAGAGAGAATAATGAATTGCTAAGAGGCTTCTTTTTGATTTCAGGTTATGGTGCTAGTTATGATCCATCTTTTTAGGATGTTAACAGAAATCATGGCCATGAAATAACTGTGAAACTAAAAGGAAAGTTTGTCATAGCAGTTGATGATTTTTCAGGGTATTAATTCAAATATTTTGTTTAAAATTTATCTTTCTGGGGAAAAAAGCAATACTATACTTTTAGACTCTTTCTGGATGGGTTCATACACGCAGCTACATAGAAAGCCAATCTATTAAAGTATAAATTATTTTTTAAAATTGTTTTTATGTGAATCAGTGATTTATATTTTTTTGGTATTTTAGGCAATTTTGTTTGTCCTAAAAGTGTTCGTTAATGCAGAAATTAGATGATTTAATTTAGCTTGAAACTATGCTGATACGTTTTGAATACTGTATCAGTGCATATCTTTATGCAGTTGCAATTTAATGATACTTGTGGTATAATTTTGTGCTGTATGGTTATATTTAAATTCTACTTAAAACTTAGCTCTTGCATTTCTGAAACCAATTTGTATACTTAATAAAGCTTCACTTTTTAGCAATAAAAATATTACCTTGAAAATCCAATTACATTCTTCTAAAGAGTATCTGAATAATACTTTTCTCTTAAGGCAAAAAGAAAAATTTTAAAAAACCCTCTATGTAAATTTATAAATCATTTAATATGGAGAATTAGATTTCTAATATTCATTAAATATCAAAGAAATTCCAACCAGGCCCAGTGTAGGCTACCTTTTTATATAAGAGAATTTATGCATGTATTGTAGGCACTGCACTGATGAATATGTTTGAGGCTTTCAGCTCTTAGTGGATACAAAATAGAATGATTGATAAAATCCTCCCTACTATTGGCTATTATTTACTGACTCTTAAGTGGCAGGTTGTATTTATGCCAATTTATCTGCTTCAGGGAACATTCTTGATAGCAGAACAAAGTGAATAAAAGTAGTTTGCTTTGCAAATGAATGCAAATGGGAGAGCCTTTCGGAAAGCCCTTTAACAGGGGCAGTGCACTTTGATTATGAGTGAAGCTGCCATTTGGACATGGTGAAAAGAGCACGCTTGAACCATTGATTGGGGGAGACAGTAAAAAGTCAGGAAGGGCCCCGTTAAGCTCGCAGTGAGGCAGGCGGATGTCAGTGTGGTTAGAGCACAGTGGGAGAATGACAGGCAGGATTAGTGTCAGGGAGAAGCTTTGCGGTAGCTGTGGAGATAGTCCCTGGGGTCACTCACCTCTGACTGTTGTTCTGTGCTGACGGTTCTGTAATGCAAACTACCTGATGTATGCCTGTTCATTATCGGAAATGGTGATTAGAAAAGGTATTTGTTTCAAAGATTTCCTTCCACGTATGTATCTGGTCCTTCCCTTTCGTTCTCTCTTCCTTCCTTCCTTTCTTTCTTTCTTTTCTTTTTCTTTCTAATTAAAGGAAAACAAGGTAGGTTTCCTCACTCTCTAAGTGGCTCCTGCCTCTGATGGGAAATACCTTCGCACTAAAATACAAAGTAAAATAATCGTGATACGGTTTTTGTTCCTCAGTAATTTTGTTTTTCTTTTCTCACTTTGGTAGTTCTGAGTAAAGCATAGAGATACAGTTGCTGTTCGAATTTCTGTGTGGCTTTGTCATCTTTACTTATAAGTGTCTAATACAAGTGTTTTACTTATTCAGTTTAATAATTTGGTCAGCGATGGAGGTTGTTTTCCTTCTCAAAATGAAATGTTGCTTTGCCTGGATAGCTTCAATCTTGGCCACAAATGTTTCTAATTTTATTTGTTCCCACGTTTTATAAAGCACTAGCACTTTTTTAACAAGTCAGCCTTCTTTATTTTAAAAATTGACTGTTGTTACACAGAATGAACAAAAAAAACTTTGTCTCATTTCTGATTATAAATCAGTATATTTGCTTGTTCACATTTTCATTTATGCTTCTAGGATTTTTTGCTTTCTTTATATTTTAAGCTTCTTAACTTGTAATAGTCATGTTTGTGAGGCATTTGTGAGCAACATTGCATTTTGTAGCAGGAATAAACTTCATAGGCTTCAAAAGTGGTTTTGCAGTATTTCTGTTTTATTTGGTATACATAGGGAAATCTTTAAAAGGCTGCTGGAACTTTGCATTGTAATGTTAAATATGCAACTCAAACTTCATCTACACTTTTGGATATACTTTAGTATTATTTTTCGCCGAAAACATATTGCCAATAATTTGTTTCACAGGCTTCTTAAATGTTTTAGTAGGCATTCTCCCAATTATCTTTTTTATTTTCTTTACTGTTTTGCAGGCACCTGAATGGACAGAAGAGGACCTTAGCCAGCTGACAAGAAGTATGGTTAAGTTCCCAGGAGGGACCCCAGGTCGATGGGAAAAGATTGCCCACGAATTGGGTCGATCTGTGACAGATGTGAGTTCACTCAGATTTGCATTGTACGGGGAATGACAAACCAGAACAAGCCAACTATGTAGGAGGCAGACATAGATGGGTCCTACATTATCTTTGGAGAAAGGCTGCAATTCTTTGAGGACCTGGAAGTGAACCATTAATGAAATAAGCAAGAAGCAGATGTGAGTCAGTCCCTGGTCCACAATTAACAGCTGTGTGAGGAATTCTAGTGTTTGGAGATTTAAGCTACTGAAACCTAATCACAGGAAAACAGTGCCAGGTATTGTGATTATAGTGACCTTTTAATTGTGGAAAAGATAGTTCTCAAACTGATCAGAATTAGAGAAGTTGTATTTCAGCTGGATCTTAACAGTGAAGTACAGATTACTGGTGTATTTAGACAGGTGGCTGGGTTAATTAAGTGAGCACTATTCTTACAATGCAGATAGGACGTTTACCATTTCTGCGTCAAGGATGTTACGGGCCATTCGTTTTGACAAGTTGCATTTGTGTGTATACATATAAATGTACACACATCCGTATATGTATGCATGAATGGCCATGTCTAACATGTAGAAGACAGAGTATTTACCTAGAAAGGTTTTTCTGAACATTTTAGATGCTTTTATTGAGTGATGAGCAGCTTTTAAAAAGCACCTACACAGTGCCTGACATGTAATTGAAATTAGGGGGAAAAACCGTACTTTTATCAATTGTCAAATTGATACTTTCATAAAGGGTGTTAAACATTCTTTACTAAATTAACTTTAAATACATCCTGAACATCTAAAAATACTTAATGGCTTACTGAAACCAAAGATTGCTACCCTTTTAATTCTGTTAGTATGTCATGAGGTCTATTTTGATAATGAACATAAAACTTAAAAAAAAATTGCAAAATGATTGCTAAACACAGCTATCAAAAAACACCCCCCAAAAAACCCACAGAATTTGTCATGAGTACTATAAATCATTTTTCATAATAAGCTTCAACTTTTTAATTTAAAAAAAAACTTTTGAAAACATTACTGCCAAGATTTTTTTTTTCTTTCCATTCTTTTCTTTTCTCCTCCCCCACTCTGAATAGGACCTGCTTTTAGAATTTTAAATTGTTACTATTACAGAGGTCTTTCAAAAAAAATCGCACTTAAAAGACTACTATTTGAATTTTTGTGAGATGTTCTGTGTTGTTTTCCCTTCAGAGTAAAGTATAATAATGAGGGAGATAGCTGTTGTATCTTGTAACAGTTTTTTGTTAATCGTGGAAACCTGTGACAGGGAAACCAAGAGTTACCTTTCCTTCTGCTGAGATTGTTGCTGGGGTGGGCACTATTTTCTCATATGAGGCTTGTTTATAAAAGATTAAGTTAATGAGGACTTACCAGTAAATATCTGACTGCACTACAATCCCATGGTCACTGATATTTTATACAGCTGCCAATAATGTGATGAAGGAAATTACTACAGTAATGTCTAGAAAGTTACAAAACATTGATATAAGACGGCCCAGAACCTTTAGTTCAGTTGCTTAATGAAAATAGGAACAGTGAACTATTTTTAGTACTACTTTTAACTTTTTGCATAATATTTCTTTGAGACTGTATAATTGATACTAATGGCAGATAGGAAATTGGGTAGTATTTTAAATTTGTTGTCATTAAAATCTGATTAAATTTTTCTCTGTTTCTGAGAGATGAAAGTTTTTTAAATGCTAAGAATATATACGCTATAACCAGCAGCCTCATTGATCTAGAATAGCCAGTCTCAATTTACAAGCGTGGCGTTGGAGCAGAGGCGCCTTTTAAGTTTTTGTGAATTTGTGCTCAGTGTTTTCTTCCCCTTAAGCCTCCTCAAGAGCAACTGATTTTATGTCTACAGTAGATACTTTTTCTATCATGAAAGTGGCAGACGTGACTTTTTGAGTTTGTGTGTGTGCACCAAATACTAGTTCTATTTTCATAAAATCAAAAGTATCTTGGAAATAGTAGACCTAGACTTTTGTAGCACCAAACACTGCCCTTTAAGTCCTCTCCTGGGTGAGGATACATGGTGCTGCGTGTTCCCTCTGAGCACCCTCCCTGTGGCTGCACTCCGCGTTTCCTTTCAGTAACTGGGTGCAACACTCTCGCGCACAGAGTGATCTCTCTCTCTCAGAGAGAGCAGGTGTCCCGCCCCGCACACTCAGCCACCACACTTGAAAAACAGAGTGGCTTGGCAATCGCAGGAGCAGCTGAAATGGGCTCAGCGAGTACAGTGCCTTCAGAAGAATGTTAAGTGAAAGTTAATCACACTTTACAAGATCACTTATGCTTCTTTTTGGCTTACGGTGTTAATTAGATTTGTTTTCATTAAGTATTTGAGTATGAAAAATGAAGCCAGGTTCAGCGGGCTGTCATTGTCTTCTCCTTACCTCTGTGTCCTGACCTGATCACCTGACCAGTTTGCCCCAGTGCAGCACAGCTGTTATTTGACCCTGCTTCCTTGCTAGATTTGTAGCTTCAGGCTTGCTTCTTTCTCTGTCCAGAAACAATTGACCTTTTGACGGGGGAGAGGTGAAAGTGTGGCAGTGGTGGGGTCTGTATGGTTCATTATTTGGTTTGACAGATTATAGGGAAAGTCTATTTTATTCCTCAATTAAGAAAAGAATTAAGTATATTAGTTGTTATAATAAGTACTTAGATTGCTAAATTCTACTCTGGATAAATACAAGCAATGTTTTTAACTTTAAAAAATATCAGCACAAAGTGTATATTAACTCAAATATACCTAAACTATAAGGCCTGTTTTATTGTGGATTAAATAATTCTATATTTTTGGATTAAATATTTTAAATGTTAATATATGCCTTTCAGCAAATAACTTTAGTAACCACAACGGACACTCAAATTATAAAAACAACAGAGGAAACAAAAACTGTCTGGCATGTAAAACCAACTTTAATGTGATTATTAACTGCAGGTTTTCTAAATTAAGGTCAGGGAGCCTCAGATTTCTTGCTTGTGAAGTAATATTATTCTCTTGCCCGAAAGGATGTAAACTGATTCTGCTTTTCTTCATCGTCACTAATCTCTTGCATTCTGGTTGTGATAACAAACTGATTGGAGATTTTCTGCTTGCTTGGAAAAGACCCAAGTACGCAGCAAAACAAAAGACAGGTGTCTGGATTTAAACAGACTTTTGTAATTAGCTTAGTGTCTTAGTGTGAGGTAAGAGGTGTGTAGTTAGATAAGCAGCCCACTATGCCAGTGAAAAGAAGAAAATAATGAAATTCCCAGTTTTATTTAACACTTCTACAAGTAGCATGGAGACAGAGGACAACACAGGGAAAATTTAGGTACTGTTGTTTTGGAGACAAATAAATGGCTTGTTCAATTGAAAATAAGCTTCATAGTTTATTAGTGAACTAAATATATAGTTATTACTTTGGCAAATGTGTTACAATTACTTTTAGAGCCAGACTAGCCCCACTCAAAATTGTAAAAATGATAAGGATCTTCCTTTCGGCTTTCTGCCTTAGTGCTCTGTGGCCCTTGACTAGCTTCCTCTTGGCCTTAGCCTGACCTCACCCTCCTCTCTTACCCTCAGACCTCACAACTTCAGAGTCATTTGGGTTTTAGGAAGGAACAAGTGCTTTACCCTGTTCTCCTTGCTTGCCAGGTGAGGCATTAGCTAGTCTGACACACAGTTTTCAGTGAAAGTCTCCAGGTTCTTATCCTAGGATATGAATGATTGGTGCACGCTTTATAAGGAACTTGATTGCCAGTTTGACGGAGAGAGAAGACAGTAGTATTTTGATGTAGTCAGACCTTTTGTGTCCATCAGATAAAACCACATAACTACTTAATCTTTCCATGGCCTGGTTGGAGTTCTATTATGTATATATAGTACAGTCATTAATGCAGATATTTCTGTCCTCCATTTTAATAGAGACCTTTTGTTTATTTTAATATTAATCATTAATATGAAATATGCATACATTATGCTGAGAAAGTTTCCTTCACTTTAATATTTTTCAATTCTAATTTATGAGAGTTATTTTAAGGAATAGGGGTAAAATTTTAACTAAAGTTTTTAGCATTTCTTTAAAATCATACAATTTCCTCATATGACCTAATGAAGAGGAATATATTATCAAAACCCTTATTTTGCATTTCCAGGATAAACTCTAGTTGATCATATAAAATTATTCTTTTAATGAATAGGTAAATTTAATGTATTAATTTATTTAAGATTGTTGCTTTTATATACATAAGTGAGAATATAGAATTTCTGGTGTTTTACTAGTTGGATATCTTTAGGTAGGACTATATAGCAGGCTTCTAGAAAATGTTCATCTTTCCTTATTAAAATTAGTTCACTGTGCCAGCCTTCTGTCATCTTGAAAATCAAGAAAATATCAAACTCATAAAACAAAGGACAAGGTGCCATAAAGAAAAATCAGTACAAAAATTAGTATCAAAAACAAAAGTAGTGGGTATGATGACACACATCTGTGGTCCCAGCACTTGGGAGGCTGAGGCAGGAGGATCACCACAAGTTCAAGGCCAGCCTGGGCTATACATTGAGTTCAAAAGCTAGCCTGAACTACACAGCAAGACCCTGTCTCAAAAAAAAAAAAAAAAAAAGAAGAAGAAGACACCACCAAAAAAAACATAAATGAAATAGAATGGTTGAAAGGTATCGTTATGAAAATCTCTTTGAGAACAGAATAAAAAGATAATGTTATTTAAACATTATAGAAAAGATAAAATACAATCAAGAGCCCAAATCTGACTAGGAGATGTAGTGAGACAGAGAAAACTTAGAGGCAAACAATATGATGTTTTCCAGAATGTGGGGACACCTGAGACCAATTCTAAGGATGTGCCAAATTTAAGTGATATACGTAGAAAAGATCCTGGGAAAATGTATGAACACTGAGAATACTTAGGTTGTCAAAACTCCTGTGGAACAGGGCATGGTAGTGCATGCCTGTAATCCCAGCACTAAGTTCAAGGCCAGCCTGGACTACAAAATGAGAC